AACGAAGAGGGAAGGCCACGAGCAATGTCTTTGTTGGCATCTGTTTCATCCTTAATCGTGCCTACAGATGCGAGACGCAGGCGAAGGGCCTCTGAGCGGGCAATGTAATCCTGTGGACTCTCGGACTCTTTCATCTCCAACTCCTTCCAGTCCTGCTCCAACCTCGACTTTTCTGACTGCTTTTTCTCCTGATAGAACTCTGTCACTATTTTCCAGCCTTTTTGAGGACTCTCACACGCCAGAATCAAGCTCTGAATCGGGGGATACAAAACCTTGCTGATAAGGATATTCCATAATTTGAAAGATTTGTCTACCACTTCATTACCAAAAAGTCTCCCAAGGTCTCCTACATTCACACCCCTCTTCCCGACCTTGACCTCAACCTCCAGTTCCAACGCATCGTGCACACCCTCCTCCTGAAAATATGAAATCACCTTACCACGAAAAATATCAAACATAATGTACAGATCCTGCTTCTTCTTCACACTACCAAGCCAAGGTTCGATTTCTGAGCCTGGATTTACACGTTACGTGCCTGAGCGGGCAAAGCCCTGTTGTTCAGCGATGGCCTCAGCTGTCGCCTTGGCCGCTTGCGCCACGATGTGTGCGACGCTGCTGGGGTCGTTGAAGGAAGGTGTTTTACCCTGGCTGGAGGGTGATGGCTGGCTGCCGGTAGGTGGGACCGGGTTGCCGGCAGGTGGTGGGGCGTAGGTGACTTCACCCTCGTTTATCCTGTTGGCTTCGAGTTCGGCTTGCACTCGTTGCTGGACGATCTCCTCCACTTTTTGCTGTAGCTCTTCCCCGCTAAGGGCGGAGAGGTCGATGCCCTCCATGGTGTATGTTGTTGTGGGAGTCTACCGATTGCGCGTGGCTGCACAACCCCCCGAAGGCTACGCCCGCGCGCAGATACCGTGATATCTCACTAGACTAGTGTGAAATGTAAACTATGCGGGGTGCAGCAAGCACGTTCTGGACGTTACTTGGGCACTGGGTAGTCGCCCGTGTTAGACCGAGAGAGAGAGGTTGAGAGAGAGTTGGAGAGAGAGTGGGAGAAGGAAACTTGATTGGAGAGAGACGGTGGTGGTGGTGGAGAGAGAGAGAGGGAAGAAGTGCGCAGCACGCACGCAAGCTCCATCGCACCAACCACGCCAAAAGGATCCCCGTGACTGCACCGGTGGTACCCTACTACACACGAAATTCCCAACACGTACCCCCTGGGATCCTCACGACCAGATACTGCTGCGAGTATATCTAACAACACTGTTGTTGGTATGATAAGCCCTCAGGCGAAGCAAGGCTGTTTCGTCGTGTGTGTGTTTTTAAATTTGCATCGATCGCGCTAAACGGACTCGTGTGTGTGCACGCGCGAGTGAACCGGCACCATTGGAGGTTAAAGCCCCGCCCAACCGACACTATCCCGGGCAAGCTCTCAATTGTGCCAGACCGGCACTATTGAGAGCTCTGCCTGTGTCCAGATATTTTACCGGCACTATACCGGGCACTTGGCACTATTCAACCGGCACAAATATAAAGGTTCCTCGACTGAATCATCATCGTTCATTGTCACTGAATCCCACAATTCCTATTTTTCACTCGAACTTGTTGTGCAAGAATGTACTCATGTATTGCTTCCCATCATCGGTCGACTAGATGGGTGAAACTCAGGCTTTGTCCACTCAGCGGCAACCATGATCGAAGCCAATATTGCAGAATGCTTGCATGAAATAGGTCCTGCCATCATCATTCTTGGTATTTTTCACTCGACCATGTAGGAGAATGCACTCATGGCTTCCTGCGAACGTTCGACAGGATGAGGAGTAAATCCAAGGATTATTCACTCAGCCGCAACCTGATCGAAGCCGACATTCCAGAATGTTCGCATGAAAAACAAAACTTACTTGTTGTAAAGTTGTTGTTGTTGTTGTTGTTGTTGTCGTCTTCACATTAAACCGTATGTCAGTTGCAAAATGCCAAAATCTAACAAAGACTCTCAGCCCGTGGTCACGAAAGTGCTAGAGCCATCTGAGGATCTAAAGGACTCGCACACACATAACGAGAAAAAGGTGTCCAAGAGCCCGAAGAGGTACACCTGAAAATCCCTGCAGCACCTTATGCGTGCCCAAAAACTGAACTGCACATCCGTCCCACCGTTCGACTACAGTAGCATCAACCCCTCCCTGTCCCACTCTATACCAAAACGGAAGATTGCCGACTACAGCATCCTGCTGTCTGAAGTGCTGTCTGTACAAAAACACCATGGTAGGCATGGAACAAGAAGCTGGCGGGGCACAAAGCTGCTGTCTGAAGTGCTGTCAGAATGTGTCTGCGGACGTACAGTGAAAAAGAACAACCAACCAAAGCCATGATTGCAATGGACAATCANCCATCTCTGACGGTCTCTCTACAAAACCGGTGATGACGCACAAAACCGACACGGAGTGTCAGAAAAAAACGAAAAAAATTCTCGAACACAGATAGTTTGTCCGTGCGCCACGGGTCGATGTCGCCCGCATGCTCCGGTGCCGCTGCTCCATCCGGCGCCGCTGTAGTCAGCCCGAGCAAAACGCCACTCGACCTGCTCCGTCCGTACACGCTCTCGTTGCTGTCCTACCCAGTCGGTTCCTCGCTTTCTCCCTCATTGCACTCAAGGTTCTTGGTCTGAAAAAAATAGGAATTCTCGCGCCGAATGGTCAACCGGCCCAGTTCAGCTCGTCGCCACCTGCTCCCTCCTCCTTTGATGGCGAAGCCAGGTTACTGAGGCAATACAGCTCCCTCTAGCAAACCTAGGGCCGTGTAGTGTCCGTCCACCTTTCTGATGGTGTCTGCCTCCGCGCACAAAAATGAGATGGGCATCACTGCCTACGCCGACGGCCAGAAAGGCCCGTGCATGCATGTACATTTTCCCGCCTGACCCCATCAGTGCCGACCCAACTCCACCACCATACGCACGCCTCGCGGCGGATGCGCAGCAGCAAGAAGGGTTCGGTCATCCCTTGAGGGTGAGTCTAGCCCTGCTCGCCAGAAAGACCCCCCCCTTCACTACAACCCATGTCTAAGCAAAAGCTTGTCGAGGAGCGAGGGGAAGAAGGGAGAGTGCCATCATTTAATGTTAGTGAAGCCACATATTTTGTGCTTTTCACTTACCCATCTGGAATAATGTACTCGTCTGGCATCCCACCACAGAATGAGTGAAATCAAGACTTGTTCACTCACGGCTTTGCTCACTCAGTCGTAACAATTGATTAAAACCAATAGAGTAGAAGGACACACGAGATCCCGTAAACCACGACACCTCCGGAAACATCACGTGCAACAGAGAAGCTCCAAGAAGGGGACACATGAGGCTGCCTCTTGAGGTGCTTTACCATACGACAGCGGCCCCCGCGCGCTTGCCAGGCCGAACAAATCCCAACGACAAGGTGTTACGCCATGTATACATACGGGAGTTTTACCTGGCTTTCATATTTAACCTGAAGACCATGGACGTATTCATGAAGAATGTAGTCAATACGGATGTCCACAGAAGGGAATGTTCATTCGCTACCTCGGTAGTTCGAGAGTATTTTGTCGAAATCGGCTCTGGACTGCTTTATCACCAACTCCAAATGCCGGTGCTGTGATGGCGTGTGGGCGGTAGCTCGATTCACGGGGTGTCCACTTGGAAAAATTGCACTGCCACCCGGGGGAGTGAATCACCGCACAATAAGATATACGAATATCCAAATGCATTAGGAGGTATATGCATATGTAGGCATCTATCTGTTGATTTTTTTGTTGGCGTCATCGTATGTCATGTTGTTCGATATTATTCGACAGGTGCCAGTCGCTGGTTCGTACTCAGCCAACCGGTGGAGTTGCTGTTCGAGACTGCCGACTGAGTGCACCCTTTCGATTCACTCTGGACCAATGAGCGAACGCTCTTCTTCTCCCTGGACGGAAACGACTGTGCTCGCCCTCCTGAGGAAAGGCTACCTGTGAATCTACTTGCATATTTGACGACGAAAAATGCAGTCAAGTGCACCTAGAAGCTGAACTGTCATGAATCGGCATGAGGAAAATGAGAAGACCTTGTTCTTGGGTCCTGTGAATTCATTGGGATTTTCAAGTCCATGCTTCGGTGGCTTCATTCCACTTCGTTGCTCTAAAGGGACGCTAGCTATGATCATGTTCGGCTGAAGCTATGAAACCCTTGTCCCTCTCTCCCCGCTACCGGCCGCTATCGCTGTGCAGGATAAAAATTCGGAAGGACAAGGAATGAATAAGCTACGATTCCAAAGAGACGTATTCGATTGCATTATCCAGTCCTAATGCTGCTATGACGGTTCAACACATACCGGCACTGGTCTGCTTGATACGGTACAACGCCGTCCGGCCCTTATCGGTGGGTTTCGGAGCTGCCCTCCCCGACTTGCATTCATTCGACGGCTTTCGCCCGATTCCAACATACTCCAAATGAGGCCACAATGTACATCAAAACATTCCAACCACTCACGTCCGCTCCGTCGAGCAGGTCCGGCCCAAGACCTCTTGTAGCACTCATCCGAGTGAAGAATTGCCTTGACGAATAAATATCGCATCTAGCCTAGACTATCGGTTTGGACACCCGGTAGGACATCTCCAAACACTCTTGAGTTGATATCCCAAAGGGGTGTACATCGCATGGCATGGACATCACACCCTGACAAGTAAACACTAGCCTCGTCTCTTGTCCTTTTCGAGAATGTTTGTGCGGATGGTGCTCGATATTGGTTTTGTTTCTATCACATGCGGTTGACGGGAATGAGGTGGTAACTGCGCTTTGTGTGGCCTTGGGATGCTCCCGCAACCTCTCCGCGAGGTTGCTTGGCAGGCATGAAAATCCTGCAAAATGACTGAGAGGCTCTAGATGTGATGAGTCAGTAGCACGTTACGCTCGGATCTACATATCTAAATCAGTGGTTTGTTCCGACATGCATGGAGACGATACGGACATCACTCGATACGGAGCAACGAAATCTGCACGTTCCAGATAGACATCCGTACCTCGCTCGCCTGTGCTGGCAGACCGACAGGTAACCGACCTTCCCCGCTGACCATCCCTCGCCTCTTTTCTCTCTCGAGCCTGCCTCATCCTTATGAGATAGAAGTACCATAATAGTCTAGCACTTGATTCTGAGAGTGGCAAAATTTCACCACCAGCGGCTCGGCCGGACGGCCTCGACATTTTCTGCGAAACCGAAAAAAATGTCACTAAAGAGCGTTACCGCTTTCCTTCCTACAAGTTTGATGTTCTGGGGGTGATGTCAAATCTTTCCCCTTCCTGCTTGTGGGCACGGCGTCTCGTCTACCGGACATACGTCAGTTCACACGCAGGTAGAACTGAGCTATGTGCCTTGCATGGCACTGGGAATGCGAAAACGGGTCCATTTCTTGACTGGAATCGTAGAGAAAGCACATGCCGGACAGCGGCCAACGACATCACACCAGTCAATAACAATAACGCTTCGGCCAACACGATCTACTCACCCAACGTGCGCGCCCCACAAGCCCTGCAACAAAAGAAAAAATATAACACAATCTACTCAATCGCTCCAACAAATTCACAAACACAAACGAGCACACACTACAAAATGTCAACAAGTTAACGGCCACCCCTACCCGTGCTGCGAGCTAAGCAAATTTCGGACTCGCTTCAACGGCATTGCGGGCACTATTGATACGTTCCAGGCTCCCGCCGCACCCAACGAGCACACGACACGGTCCATACAAACCTCAGTCCGAAGTCGAACATTGTCGTCACCTATCGTCGCCGGTTTTCTCTGCTTGTCCCAGCGAAGAGGGGGGTTTCTAACAAAACAGCAACAACGAAAAACTTACATAGTCTGTGCTTCGCTTCACGGACAAGGGAAGAGAGCGCACCCTCACCATAGATCGACAAGAGTGAGAAAAACAACGTACGAAGAAAAACGATCGAGGTCGTGAGACACTCCTGCACTACGTAGCCAAGGCTAGATGTCGATGGTCGCTGCAGAGCGGAAAGAAGAAGAGCGATGCTACACATGCGCTGCCATAGAGGCCAGCCCTTTCTCAAGTTATTCACAACGATGATGACCAACCAATACCGATGATAACCACCCTGCGTCGTAGAGCGAGACGGCGATAGCAATATTGTCCAACAAAAATGTCGGGCTGTCCCCGTCCCTGTCTATCCCCATTCGGCGGCATAATTTCCTCGCCGAAAGCACGTCTCAACCGACAATAACCCACTCCCTCGCTCCAGACCCCCATCCCCACAGAACGCCAAGTACTTTTCCGCAACGCCCAGAAGCTAGTATTTACAGGTCCAAAGCGACCGAACAACAGCCGTTCTCCCTGCCTGAAAGTGTTCTGGTTGTCCAAGAATTCTACTTCCAAGACCGCTCCGTTTTCGCCGGCCCGCAGCCAAACGAAACGACTGCTGTGCATACATGTCGCAGTGGACCCGGGCAGCTGGAGGGATGCGGCACCGCGTCTAGAAAAAAAAGGGCGCCCTAAACACAGCGGGTCTCGGCCTATTGCCATACTTTAGGGTCCGTGGGGTGCGGGAGGCCCGGCAGCACCCCAGCAGTACCGACAAAAAGACTGCGACGGCAGAGACATCCACCATCCTTGACAGTAGACGCACCAACGGCCTTGCGGGACTACTGCTGTACCTCTCTGGTGGCGCCACAGTCACACGACATGGCGTTCGACCTCAACGTTTTGCGGCACTCCGCTCCATCTTTTGGGTACGCAGCGGCGGCAGGGGCCAGCGGGGGGCCTACGCTGCTTCTCGTGGCGCCGGGGGTGGGCGGTCGCGCGCGTACCGTTTCGCCTGTGATCCCGGCAATCCATCAATGTCTGTGCCTTCGTCGCCTACAACCCCCTGGTTCTGAACTGCACCCGTAGAACCACCGTCGGAGCGTGTGCCTGCTGCTGCTGCTGCCGCTGAGGGCGGGAGCGGGGGCGACCCTTTCCCGGTCGATTCCAACGGCAACACGTCCAGGATGTTGCTGGCGAGGGGGGAGTAGCCGCACACCATTGGCAGCAACGGCGGCGGCAGGCCGTTCGCCGTCAGCCATCTGCTCAGCTTCACGTGCCTGCGGGAAGCAAAAACCGTGATGAAAATCGTGGACAAGACATGCTTGGCGCGTCATTTCGAAACAGCAGAGACGACACGGGCAGCACCCGAACGTTGGGTACATCTCTAGCAAAGAGCCCAGCAACGATGCCCCGCCTCGACCGGGATGCCCACGTGGCCAACGGTGATCGTATTGTGAAAAAAAAAAAAAACGCAAACCATCCACAGTACACCCCAACGTTGGACCCTCCCAACTCTTCGAGACCTTACCCGATCTTGAGCTCGGTCAGCAGGGAAAGTTCGGCGCTCGTGTCCACGTCGTAGCGATTGGGAGCGTCTTCCTTTTGCGACCTCACGTCGTGGGTGATCGTCACGGCGTGGTCCCTGCGATGCGGCAAAACAGACGTGCCAGGACACGACAGATCACAGGACCAAGCAACGCAGGCCGCGATGGTTTCAGGCGACAGCAAGCAGTAGCGTCCTAGGATCTCGGGGCGACAACCGTTGATAGTGATGGGTTGGTTCTTCACGTGGTGTCGACGTTTTCAGTCACTCTTCGTCGGCTCGCGACGGTAGACGTGTAACGTTCTTCGAAGCACAAAAGAATGCCATGCGGTCGTCCAGCAACTCGACAGCACGACGACCACAGACGTTCCTGTCAAGGGTGCTTCTGTGCGTGCGGCGTAGGACAGCAGGTCAGAGAAGAGGCAAGAGAGGTCGACCTTTTGCGAAAGCCCCTGCTTAGACATTCCTGTAAAGGGCGCTTCTCTACGTGCTTCGTACTACAAGACAGCATGGTCAGAGTACAAGGCCGAGAGGGTCGAAACTGTTGCGCGAAAACCCTCTGCTTAGGTTGCTCGCCTGAGCGTGTGCTCGCGGCCGTAGACGTTGGAGATCCAGTCGTCAGACCACCAGTTCTTGAACGATAGCGGGAAAAAGCGGCCGAAGATGTCGATGTGAGTCCTACGCAGGTTTCGAACGATGTCGAGATAAGGGTTTCGGTTTGGTAGGGGGACGGGGAGAACGACTGGCGTCGTCGAAATATGTGCGAGTCGTCAGAAGATACAGCAGGAAGTCTTCGTCGGTAACAATGTAAGCATACGCGTGTGTCTTGGTCGCCAAGGTGCCTGCAGGCAGGGGGGGCTGAGCCTCTCTTCCAAGGACACCGCTCCGCACAGCCCAAAAGTGGCCATGAACACAACACAAACCGCAATAAAAAACAAGACGCGGTTGCGCCCACCTTTCCGCATGGAGGAGTTCGACGGGAGCGGAATCGATCAGACAAGAGACAATAGCAAAAAAAATTAGAGGACATCGGGGACCGGGATCCACATACCCACCCAAAGCCGCTGGGCAAGGGCTCCCACAGTCACAAGGCCGACAACATCAACGACGCCGGAAACAACATCTACCTGTGAACGAAAGAGTGCGTGAGGATCCGACGGTTGTTCGTGTCCGCAGGGCCGGTGACGCCCACGTTTCTCCCTAGCGGGTTGTCTCTCAGGGCGGAGGTGAAGAGCTCCGCCCAGCCCGGGGTGTTGATGAGGGTGTCGTCGTTGATCTGGTAAAGGTAGTCGCAGCCGTCGTCGTAGGCGTCTTGCGTGAGGGCGCTCACCACGTACGATGGCGCGTGCTGGGTGTTGGAGGAGAGAGGGAGAGAGGGGGGAGAGGGGGGG